ATTTGTTTTTAATTATTTATAACACACTTTTAACAATAAAATATCTTTCAACTCATGTGAAAGAAAAAAACAAACCAAAACAAAACAAAAAAACAACAACCAAACAAGAGTGCAAAACACCAAACACTAAATTATCTCAAATCTCAGAGATCCTGTGTCTAGTAGAAACAAAAAAAGCATAGAACTTCTACTAGTGGTATCTCCCTCTACATAAAACTCATTTTTGGCAGCCACTTAATCTTCCTGTGATTAGGTAGGACATTGGTGATGTGCTTTACTACATTGTGCTGGTTTAGGCCCTGCCAGGACTGGAGACTGCACTGCTGTTGTCCCTCCCCCAACATTGGAACAAGTAGGGCAGAAACCCCAGGGTTGAAATAAGGCATAATTTAATACGAGTGTAATAAACAATCTGAACAACAACAGTAGCAATAATAAAATTAAACAGTAATAACAGTAAACAATACAAAAGATATACAGAAAAATACTGCAGTGAACACAGCCAGCCTGCTTCCCATGACCAAAACCATAAAGGAAAGCCCGCGCTGCTGTGCTGGGCCTGACAACATCATGGTATAAATAACCCAGCTGGAGATCCCTTCTCCCTGCTGGGGAAAATTAACCCTATCCTAGTTGAAACAGGACATAATCCACCCCTTTAATCAATACAATCTGAGTCATGTCCGGCTGCCATTTAGCAGTTAACAATAACAAAACAACAATTTACAAAGGCACAGCATAATTCACGGCATCTTCTCACACAGAATCGAGTCCCCCTGTGGTACACATCGGACCTCTCCATTGTCCTGCCTCACCAACCAGGTACACCCAGGTCCTTGAGCAAAAGCAATCCTGTGGATGGGTTTGCCTTTACCTTTTCAGGTACTAAACCAGACCATTTTCCCCAATATATTCCTCATGTGCATCACAGGGACTTTATCCCCATCTACAGCACATGGAGGTTTTGACTGAGCTGGGCCAGCTCGACTGGCAGATCCTCTTGTGTTGACTAACCAGATGGTCTTTGCTAGATGCGTGTCTGTCACGTCCCGCTCCAGTGAGGGGGACAAGTGACGCAGATTCGCAAATCCCCAATTGGAGCGGACAACAAGTCTCCAAGTTCAAGCATTTATTAACTACCTACAATGCGCTAATTGAACACATGATAATTGGCTAAGTACAGAGCAAGCTGTGGCAAGCAATATAATATGCTTTACATTTCTTAACAGAAAAAAAGGAAAAGAGGGAGATAGAGGGAATGGGGGAATACAGATCACCGGTCTGAGTTCCTGCACTGCTCCTGCCGGCGAGGATTCCAGGAGGCAGCTATCTTCTTCGCTGGCATCCGTCGTCTTTGCTTCACTGCTCTCTCCAGACGGCCGGGGGGAGGGGGGGCAGGAAGAGGGGCAGAGAGAGCCCTTTCTTCTCCCCTTTGATTTATACCCACTTTCCTTGGGTCCATCCCCTAGGTCAACCCACAGACCTACGTATCCCATGTACAGGGAGGGGTAAGGTGTTTCATGGGATGATGTCACTAGCATGATCATGACAGCCCTCGTTAGCATATTGAGGGGTGTCAACTTTCATATGCATTTTGTGGATAATGAAGCAAAGTTCATTCACCGGACACATGGCCCTTGAAATCTGCCCAGGTGCCCCAGGGCAGAGCCATCCCATCTCCACAGGGCTCTCTCCCCCAGATACATCGGGCAGCCTTATCAGCTTCGGCCTCCACAGAAAGCACCCTGTGACTCATGGTTTTGTCTTGGGAGTGTTTGAGGCAAATCTTCAATCAGCCTCAATTCTTGCTTTCCCAGGCTGTTTGTCTTAGTTTCTCACAGGCCTGGTTGCTCGGCTCTCACATCCCACCCCGTGACTCAAACACTCCAAGTTTTGACCATTGTGATCTCAAAGGGTATAGGGAAAAAAGAAGACAGAAGGTAAGAGAGCATATATCTAACTGCTACAAGTCGTACTATGAAAAGCAAAACTTTGCACAATATTACAATACTAATATTTACAAGCCATCTTCCCCACCCCGCGAGTCCTGAGGATCCCAGTGATGTTACCCATGACCCAGGGTTCCATCCATCAAACCAGTTCATCGGTCGAAAAAGTTCTCTGTTCCTGTTGGCAATCTTCTTCATTGTGGCATGGGTCTCCTCTGTAGAGGTGATGGCAGAGGTGCATTGTGGATGGAGATACAGCATTCTCCCTCAGTCAGACTCAGCACACTGCACAGTCCATGTTCCTTCAGCAATGCTAGCTGGATTTTGCAACGCCATCCTAGATGCTTGGTGGATCTGCACCTTTAATTCCTTAAAGGCATACCTTGTTAGTACATATAAATGCTAAATTAAATTTTCTAAAACTATTTGAAGTTACACAATTACATTAGAAGGTCAATAAGGATTTAAATGGGAATACAATTTAATATTCAGGTACAATTTATTAATGCTTAATTTGTGGGACCAGACCCCTCCAGCTAGTCTTTGATTATTTCATCTTGCTGTTGGTTATATGATATTTGCAAGCACCAGTGTGCAGTCACAGGTGACCCACAGGCTTCCTTAATTTTGGAGGTGATTCCCAATAAGGTAACTTAAGGCACAACTTCAGATTAGCCTTCCAATAAGTAGATTCTTCACACTTAACAGGTATGATTCCACAAATTATATAACAATGTAAGCAGATTACAAATAATAACTAGCTGATAATGCCTATAACTATTGAAAGCACTAAAAGTAACATAGGTCTTTGGTCATCCAGGATCAATATCCTGTAAAACAAATATATGCATAACAAAACAATGATGGTTAGAAAGAAGCGACAATCCATCTGGTATTGATACGATATTCTTTCCCATGGACATCAGTAGCCACCCATGAACAGATATTGATGTGAGTTTTTAGGGTTAGGGGTACTTGCCCCACAGTGGGCAAGTCTACTAGAACGGGCTATCCAGGATAATGGAGCGGGTTTGTAGAGTCTTTAGTCTCTTTTTTCTCAGCAAGTATGGACGGAGGCCTAGAACAGAATGCGGTGAGTCGTGGGCATCCATTAATTCCCCATCGGCTGTTTATCTTCATTACTGCGTCTGGCACTCGTTGTGGCCATCCGGGTTCAAGGGGTTTTAGGGCCTGTTTTAAAAGTCCATTGGTGCGTTCCACAATCCCATTTGCTTGGGGATAGTATGGAGTGTGGAAAATCCACTGGATTCCTTCATCTTGAGCCCACCCCTGAACCACCCCGGCAGTAAAATGACTACCATTGTCTGATTGGATTGATTTAGGCTTAGGCAAACAGCTAAACCAGCGTTTTAATCCCTTAACCGTATTTTCTGCAGTTGCTCGAGATTCAGCTTCTGCCTGGGTTAGGCCTGATACTATTTCCACCCCCACTAATACATAACGTTTTCCCTCAGAAAGCCGGAAAGGGCCAATATAACCCACTTGCCAGGCATCCCATAGTCCTTTATTGTCCCTTAGGTGTAGGGGTTGGTCCTTAAGAGGGTTGTGCTCTCCCAGTCGGGTACGACATAGACTGCACGCTGAAATAATGGTATTGCACAGCTCCCTGGTTACGGACCATCCTCTGCTTATTGCCTCTTTAAACAAATCTTTGCTTCCCGAATGACCCCGCTTTAGATGCAACCATTCCAGTAAATGTTCCCATTTCTCCTCCTCACCCTCTGTGGCTGTTCTCATCAAACGAGTCATTGAATCCACCTGGTTGTTTAGCAGGTGGGCAGGGTGATTTCCTGAT